ATATCCCGTACGTGGTGGCCCTTTTGAGCCATTACCAGTATCAATAGCTGATACTGGAGATCTGTGGAGGTGCAACTGCACCATGCATGACAGGAGATGTCTCCCCCGTGGCAAGATGGGAATAGGGGCTGCATTAATAAATGAATTAAAACTAACATTCAATTATATATTCTCAAACTTATGCAAAAAAAAAAAAAACTTTACAATCACATTTGCAAACTTGCACAAAATTAATTTTGTCAATTTTGTTTACCCATTTTTTGTTTGTTTTTCTTGCTTGAGCCAAAATGAATTGTTGGGTTCATTGCCAGAGTCCATTTCCCGCCGTGGTAACCCTTCCCACTACCCGCCCCACAAGATGGGTATGGGATTCATAATAAATGAACTAAACTAGCATTCAATTATATTCTCAACAAACTTATGCAAACCTCATACAATTACATTAGCAAGCTAACACAAATTTATTGAGCAAGTTTAAGGGGGCATATCATTCTAAATCGTTATAAATTAAAAGTTGTTCAATTTGCTTATAAATTTTTTTATGAAATGGTTATATAAAGGGCTGCAACTGGTCCAAGTTTCACCATCACACCCTAAACAGAAAAGGAGAAAAAAAATACACAACGTATTATGCAACGAATGTTCAACATTCTCAAATAATCTCAGGGAACACATGTGTCCACTAAAATGTCTACTATGTGCTGTAGAAGCACAAACTCTTGTAATAATTGTAATATGTATGTGCAATATATTTATATTTAAATTTTTTTTTTCTTTTTTTCTTCTTTTTTTTTTTTTTTTTTTGCCAATATTTTTTCTCGTTTGTTATCAAGGGATTTGCATGAAACTTGCACTCCGTGCTCAATGGATGCCTATCTGCAAGGGTGCCAATTATGAACGAAATCTGTCGAAGTCAAGCTCAGCTACAGGTGGCCTTATTTGGATCTTTATTTTACTCTGGAAAGTAATTTACACCTTCAAATTACTTCAGAGCTTTCATTTATTAATCAATTTACATGCAAATTACACCTTATATGTACCGTTTGTGTTTCTACAGAATCTAGTAGACATTTTAGTCCAAAGTCTATTTGTTGATTTTATAAAAATTTATAAATATCATATATTGCATATTTTTTTAGAAGGGTAACTTTGAAAAATTATATTATTGCACTAAACACTTTTTTGATAAAACTGATCACTAGAATCCTTTATGTGCTTAATTTAATATCTGAGTGTTAAAGAAATGATTTTAGTTGACACATGTGTTCCCTGAAACTATTTGAAAATTCGTTGCATAATTCGTTGTTTATTTTTTTTCTCCTTTTCTGTTTAGGGTGTGATGATGAAACTTAGACCAGCTGTAGCCCTTTCTATAACCATTTCATAAAAAAAATGTATAAGCAAATTGAACCACTTTTAATTTTACATTGATATGCCCCCTTAACTATTCGCATACTTTGCGTCATTATATAATGGAATACGAAAAAGAAATTCGCAGAATTCAGAGATAACACCATCAATGAAGTCCAAGAAATACGCATGTACTTCATTCGTAATGATGCGCTGCCAGGAATCTTAGCAAAGTAACCAAAATATTTGCTTACTGTATGTAGGTGAAGGATGCACATGACTCTCCGGTTAGGCGGTTGTGGAGTGAGACCTGCAACTGCAGACTTCCCATAGTCGTAAAAATGCCTTGCATAAAGACCATTGCAAGCCTCTTGTTGAATCACTTAGGGTGCATATATGTGTGTGTGTATGTAGCAGTGACAATCGCGTAACGAGCTTTCAAGAGATTGTCACTTGCATAGCTAAACAATATGTAGGGTTCAGTTTCCAAACCAATTATGCGGCTCTCCAACCCCTTTTCACCTTGCTACATGCGGGAGATCCCTTTTATTTCCAGCTAAAATATGCATTATATTCGGGGGGGTTCGCCGTGTCATAGCACAACCAATATACTCTCCTAAACTTTCCCTATCCCATCTAAATTTAAAAAATGCATTTCCAATACCCAATATACAGCCAACGCATATTATACAACATCCTCAAGACCATTTCATAAGAGTTAGTGCTGCACCCCTCCAGTTAATTTCATCAAATTAAAGACAATTTCTACCATTTTTACCTAAATTTTGTTGTGTATGGCACAACCAAAAGCCCAATTTCTCAAAGCTTAAAAAAAACAGCCCAAGCTAAATTTATTTAAATTTACTCCAATTTAGAGACAAGTCCACCAAAAGTTATCTCCAATTATAAACAAAAACTAAAACTGAATTTAAATGTAACTAATCAGGGGCTACACATAAGGGGCATAACTGGCAATCCCCCTCACAGTGTTCAAGAGAGAACTGGATAAGCACCTTCAAAGGATACCTGATCAACCAGGTTGTGACTCATACGTCAGGCTGCGAGCAGCCGCGTCCAACAGCCTGGTTGATCAGTCCGGCAACCAAGAGGCCTGGTCGACGACCGGGCCGCGGGGACGCTAAGCCCCGGAAAGCACCTCAAGGTAACCTCAAGGTAATCATATAAGAACCAAAGTTAAATTTCACTGTCCCTCCTCCCCACCCCCCAACCAAACCCCCCACCCCACCCCAGGAATAGGCCTGATTTGTTCAAGCCAAAGCCCAATTCACCCGAGTTTTCTCTATCTCATCTAAAAATAACGTTCATTTCCAATGCCCAGTATCCAGCCACCACATATTTCCCATTCCCAAGACCATTTCATAGTGTTAGTGCTGTGGCCATCTACCTAATTTCATCCCAATTAATGACAATTCCCTTTTAAATATAGGGAAAAATATGTCAAATCATATCACAGCCAAAGCCCATTTCACCTATCCCATACAAATTTAGTGTGCATTTTCAATATCCAATATCCAGTTGCCCCATGTCACGCCCTATTCCCAAGACTATTTCATAGTAATAGCGCATTGTCCTTCCAGCTATTTCCAAATATCCAGATGTGCTTATATATCATCACTCCTAGGAAACCAGTCCTATCCTAATGCAGCCAAGGCCAAATTTAGCCAAATGTATCCCAATTTACGACAATTTCCACCTAATTTATGACAATTTATCCCAATTGAATCCAATTTTCACCTAATTTTGCCCCAATTTATCATAATTTAATCCAATTTCCACTAAATTTACCCGAGTTTGTCCGTTTCATAGCGTAACCAAAGCCTAATTTGACCAAGTTTCACCTATCCCATATAAATTTAGTGTGCATTTTCAATATCCAATATCCAGGTGTCCTATGTCACGCCTTATTCCCAAGACCATTTCATAGTAATAGCGCAGTGTCCATCCAGCTATTTCCAAATATCCAGATGTGTTTATATATCTTCAATCCTACGAAACCAGACCTAACCTAACACACAGCTAAGGCCAAATTTATCCCAATTTAATCCAATTTCCACCTAATTTGATCCAATTTATTCTAATTTAATCCAATTCCCGCCAAATTTACCCGAGTTTACCATTTCATAGCACAACCAAAGCCCCAATTTGACCAAGTTTCACCTATTACATATACTGCAAATTTAAGGCGCATTTTCAATATGCAGTCGGCATGGAAGTGCCCAACCGTTTCTGAAAATTTTTACTCTCCATGTGTCTCCCTTTACACTACTGTGGTGGTGGTTGTGAAGGAAGGTGTGCTGGTGGTGGTGGAGGAAGTTGTGGTGGTGGTGGTGGAGGAAGTTGTGGTGGTTGTGGTGGAGGAAGGTGTGGTGGTGGTGGTGGAGGAAGGTGTGGTGGTGGTGGTGGAGGAAGGTGTGGTGGTGGTGGTGAAGGAAGGTGTGGTGGTGGTGGTGGAGGAAGGTGTGGTGGTGGTGGTGGAGGAAGGTGTGGTGGTGGTGGTGGAGGAAGGTGTGGTGGTGGTGGTGAAGGATGGTGTGATGGTGGTGGTGAAGGAAGGTGTGGTGGTGGTGGTGGAGGAAGGTGTGGTGGTGGTGGTGGAGGAAGGTGTGGTGGTGGAGGAAGGTGTGGTGGTGGTGGTGAAGGAAGGTGTGGTGGTGGTGGTGGGAGGAAGGTGTGGTGGTGGTGGTGGAGGAAGGTGTGGTGGTGGTGGTGAAGGAAGGTGGTGGTGGTGGTGGTGAAGGAAGGTGGTGGTGGGTGGTGGTGGAGGAAGGTGTGGTGGTGGTGGTGAAGGAAGGTGTGATGGTGGTGGTGAAGGAAGGTGTGGTGGTGGTGGTGGAGGAAGGTGTGGTGGTGGTGGTGGAGGAAGGTGTGGTGGTGGAGGAAGGTGTGGTGGTGGTGGTGAAGGAAGGTGGTGGTGGTGGTGGAGGAAGGTGTGGTGGTGGTGGTGAAGGAAGGTGGTGGTGGTGGTGGAGGAAGGTGTGGTGGTGGTGGTGAAGGAAGGTGTGGTGGTGGTGGTGGAGGAAGGTGTGGTCACCACTAATACTGCCACCATGATCACCATTGCCACCATGGTCACCACTAACACTGCCACCATGATCACCACTAACACTGCCACCATGATGACCAGTGCCACCATGGTCACCACTAACACTGCCACCATGATCACCACTAATACTGCCACCATGATCACCATTGCCACCATGGTCACCACTAATACTGCCACCATGGTCACCACTAACACTGCCACCATGATGACCAGTGCCACCATGGTCACCACTAACACTGCCACCATGATCACCACTAACACTGCCACCATGATCACCACTAATACTGCCACCATGGTCACCACTAACACTGCCACCATGATGACCAGTGCCACCATGGTCACCACTAACACTGCCACCATGATCACCACTAATACTGCCACCATGATCACCATTGCCACCATGGTCACCACTAACACTGCCACCATGATCACCACTAATACTGCCACCATGATCACCACTAATACTGCCACCATGATCACCATTGCCACCATGGTCACCACTAATACTGCCACCATGGTCACCACTAACACTGCCACCATGATGACCAGTGCCACCATCACCACTACAGCCAGGCTGGCCCTACAGGTACTCAGAGAATGCCACAACCGTGACCCAGCACAGCCTCAGTGTTGTCAACCGCGCCTACTTCGACGAGTCTCTCACACTGCGACCCTACATGTCCAAGATCCTCCACAGTGAACTTAAACTGATCGACTTCTCAGACGTGAGTGACCCGTGTTTTTTCTAGTCTAAGTCTGATCTTCGTTTATTCTCCCTGTGTCTTTGCCTTGACTGTTCGTGGGCTGTGTTACTCAGGTGACTTTTCTTATTATGGAACCTCTGTTTATCATGTGGACTTGACGGAACATTGCGTCCTTTCTGTCTATTTGTAAATTATAAAATGTTTATTTATCGCTCTGTTTGCCCAATGATGGAGCCAGACGCTTGGGACTATCCTCAACTAACTTAGCAGGGGGCATGGTCTAAGGTACGGGACAGACATAGGCAGAACAGGGTCGCCAGAGTTCCAGGAGGAACAGCTGCCCCCACAGTCACCTACTGACCCACTCCACTGATCGGGAAATGCTCTCCACCATAGCATGGTTAAATATTTGAAAAATTAAAACTTCAAAACAGTTTCTTTATAGTACTCAGGGAGTTACCCGGCAGTGTACGGGTCTCTCCCCTACCCACTCCCCATACCCTCTTCCCAATCTCTCATCTCTCCTTCCCTCTTCCTCCCTTTCTCTTCCCCTCCCACACTTCCCGCACCTCTCTACCCTCTCTCACCTCTCCTTCTCTCCCACTCCTTTCCCCCGTCTCCCCCTCTCTCCTTATCTCTCTTTAATACAACCCTTCTTCTTCCTTCCTTTCACTATCTCTGTCCGTCTCTGTCTTTGTACTTACCTCACAGTGCCTACCTCTCAATACTTACCTCTCAGTACTTACCTCTCAGTACTTACCTCACAATACTTACCTCACAGTACTTACCTCTCAGTACTTACCTCACAGTGCCTACCTCTCAATACTTACCTCTCAGTACTTACCTCTCAGTACTTACCTCACAGTACTTACCTCTCAGTACTTACCTCTCAGTACTTACCTCACAGTACTTACCTCACAGTACTTACCTCACAGTACTTACCTCACAGTACTTACCTCTCAATACTTAACCTCTCAGTACTTACCTCTCAGTACTTACCTCACAGTACTTACCTCTCAGTACTTACCTCTCAGTACTTACCTCTCAGTACTTACCTCACAGTACTTACCTCACAGTACTTACCTCACAGTACTTACCTCACAGTACTTACCTCTCAGTACTTACCTCTCAGTACTTACCTCTCAGTACTTACCTCACAGTACTTACCTCACAGTACTTACCTCACAGTACTTACCTCACAGTACTTACCTCTCAATACTTACCTCTCAGTACTTTCCTCTCAGTACTTACCTCTCAGTACTTACCTCTCAGTACTTACCTCACAGTACTTACCTCACAGTACTTACCTCACAGTACTTACCTCACAGTACTTACCTCTCAATACTTACCTCTCAGTACTTTCCTCTCAGTACTTTCCTCTCAGTACTTACCTCACAGTACTTACCTCACAGTACTTACCTCTCAGTACTTACCTCACAGTACTTACCTCTCAGTACTTACCTCTCAGTACTTACCTCTAAGTACTTTCCTCTCAGTGCTTACCTCTCAGTACTTACCTCTCAGTACTTACCTCTAAGTACTTTCCTCTCAGTACTTATCTCACAGTACTTACCTCTCAGTACTTACCTCTAAGTACTTTCCTCTCAGTACTTACCTCTCAGTACTTACCTCTGTACTGACCTCTCAGTACTTACCTCTCAGTACTTACCTCTAAGTACTTTCCTCTCAGTACTTATCTCACAGTACTTACCTCACAGTACTTACCTCTCAGTACTTACCTCTCAGTACTTTCCTCTCAGTACTTACCTCTCAGTACTTACCTCTGTACTTACCTCTCAGTACCTACCTCTCAGTACTTACCTCTAAGTACTTTCCTCTCAGTACTTACCTCTAAGTACTTTCCTCTCAGTGCTTACCTCTAAGTACTTTCCTCTCAGTACTTACCTCTGTACTTACCTCTCAGTACTTACCTCTCAGTACTTTCCTCTCAGTACTTACCTCTAAGTACTTACCTCTCAGTACTTACCTCTGTACTAACCTCTCAGTACTTACCTCTCAGTACTTTCCTCTCAGTATTTACCTCTGTACTTACCTCTCAGTACTTTCCTCTCAGTACTTACCTCTGTACTGACCTCTCATTACTTACCTCTCAGTACTTTCCTCTCAGTACTTACCTCTCAGTACTTACCTCTCATTACTTACCTCTCAGTACTTACCTCTCAGTACTTACCTCTCAGTACTTACCTCTCAGTACTTACCTATCCGTGGCTATTGGGAAGTGAGGCTCAGTTCTTTATGCCCCGCCTACTACTCTCTTTGAACCTGTTGCGTTAAAGCCTCACTATTCTAACACTCACTATCTTTGTTGAACCTTTTCTTAAGGTTGTGAATCAAGGTGGCATCCACAACTTCCCTTAGTGCATTCCACTTGTTGACCACCCGTACAGGGTACGAGTATTTCCTGATATTCCTTCTGCTCATTTGCGACTCCAGCTTCCACTTGTGTCCTCTTGTCCTACTTTCTGTCAACCCTAAAGAGGCTGTCCTTGTCCACCTTGTCTACCATCCACCTTTAAACGCCACCATCAACCTAATGTTAGACAGAATCCACCATAACAATTCTACTCTAAAGCTAGATATTCCAGAGTCTGTCCTCCGCAATCTTCTGGAAATTTGCTCCAAAATGGCCCTATTCACAAACTTTTTTGGGAGACATGTGTACGCAGATAGGAGCAGCCATGGGGTCCCCCTCTAGTAGTCCTCTTTGCTAACTACAGTATGCAAACCCTACAAGACTCCATCTTTAAAACTACAGGGAAACAGTGCATGCTTCATCGGTGATATATTCATTTGTGTGAAAGACTTCCAGGAAGTGTCGCGATTAAAGGATCTACTTACTGACTCGAAACTCAGTGCTTAACTTTACCCCAGGCATCGATGGTGTACTCCCTTTTCTCGATATCTACGTGAGAACCAAAGACAACACCTTCTCCTCACTAGTTTATACTAAACCCCCGAACACTGGAATGGGTATGAATAGTCAATACCAATGCCCAGACAAACATAAGACTAGACAAATATAAAACATAACATCCACCAGGAAATATACAGACTAATGTTGAAGTCAACATCCGCAACAGTAAGGAACCCCTCCCATAAAATTCAAATATAAATCCACTATGAGTTCCCACTAAAAAACAGAAATAGAATAATAAAAAATATAATTTCAAATGGAGTGAAACCAACAGCCCCAGACCTAAGATTGGAAATCATTATTTACTACAAATCAAAAAGTACTGCTGATATAATACTTAAGAACGGCCCCAATAAACAGTACAACCCACTCCATAAAGGAAACGTGGTTCACTACTTTAAATGCACGCATGAAGGATGTCACTTTCGCTCTACTTATATTGGTATGACCATCACAATCTTTTGAGATGACTGACCTGTCATGAGTAAATCCACAGAAGCCATGATGAGGATTCGAACCTATGGGTTGGTTATTCCCAGACGCATTTTTCACCCAACTACGTAACGACATGGCCAAAAGACTTGTAACCTGGTAGACTACTGCACCGTCGAGGATTCCCGAGGATCCCACTGATGCCTAACCAGGATTTCACACAATTCCCGTCCCCCCCCCCCCACTGCACTCAGGTTCTGTCGTCCAATAATTCTACCTCCGAAGCCTCTCTATCAATACACAGAGAAATCACAGTAACGTTATATATCAATGAGAAAATCTCCTGTGGATTTTTTCATTGATTTGGGACACATTGTTCAACATGCAAAAATACACGTTGAACAATGTGAATATGAACAAACCTGCCATCTACTAGCTGGTGCCCCTAGAAACTACTTGGAAAGTGTTCATAACACAACACTCACTAGGAACATGCTAGTAGATTACACAACAATCCTGGCATTGACCACTGACCAAATAGGATTGCAAATCCTGGAAGCTTAAGTCATAATTTATTTATTTATTTATTTATTTATTTATTTATATATATACAAGAAGGTACATTGGGTTTGTGAGAATACATTGGATAGTACAGTATTTACATTCTTGTAAAGCCACTAGTACGCACAGCGTTTCGGGCAGGTCCTTAATCTAGCAGATAATTTTAAGTAGGTAATTTCAATCAGAATTGATAAATGATAAAGATACATTGCAAGAGAAAAATGAGATGAGAGAGCTTAGTAAGTATATTAAAGCACATTGTTATATTAAAGCTCTGATTGATTACATTGACAGCTTGATTAGTAATTTAAACTAGATTAATAGACACCATACAGCAGATTGACAGCACATATAAGACAGCAATGATCACAATGGTAAAGATGATCAGATTGGGTACATAAAGATTGGGAGACTGGGTAGCAAAATATACAGATAAACAAGATTTATAAACACCATACAGCAGATTGGCAGCACATATAAGAAGACAGCAATGATCACAATGGTAAAGATGTTCAAATTGGGAAAAAAAGGTTGGGTAGCAATAGATACAGTGCAATTTTAAGGCAAAAAGTGAAAAACTATGAAGATGAAATTAGGTACTTTTTAGTATTGATTTTGAATGATGTAAAAGTTGGACAGCTTTTCAATTCAGTAGGGAGTGAGTTCCATAAACTGGGTCCCTTTATTTGCATAGAGTGTTTACACAGATTAAGTTTAACTCTGGGGATATCAAAGAGATATTTATTTCTGGTGTGGTGATAATGGGTCCTATTACATCTGTCCAGGAAGAGTTTCAGACAAGGATTTGCATTTAAGAACAGGGTTTTGTAAATGTAGTTGACACAAGAGAATTTGTGGAGTGAGATTATGTTTAGCATGTTTAGGGAGTTAAACAAGGGGGCTGTGTGTTGTCTGAAAGCAGAATTTGATATTATTCTGATAGCAGATTTTTGCTGGGTGATGATGGACTTGAGGTGGTTTGCAGTGGTTGAACCCCATGCACAGATACCATAGTTGAGATAGGGATAGATTAGTGCATAATATAGAGAGATGAGAGCAGAGTTAGGTACATAATATCTGATTTTGGAGAGTA